TGTATTTATTTCTAACTGTCAAGTAATATTTTTATTCAATAAATTCTATACTTATTAATCATAAATGGTAAAGCTTACTACAATTCAACGACCTCCAGTATTTTAAAAAATAATTTAGATTTTTTTGCGTGCGTGTATAAAAGTACTTGTTTTTGTAAATACGGTAGTCCATACATAACATTATCAAAAAATACGAGAGGTAACTATAGTAAATTTAAAAAATTTATTGGTAATTTTCTAACATTTCCTCAACAAATATATTCGTAAGACTATGAAGCCAAATTACGTAAAATTCAATAAAATATTAGAATATTTAAAATATATTTTATTATTACTGGTTAGTTAAAAAGTAATCTTAAAATTTTGTTTACATTATATTCGTCAAGTAATTTTATTACACGTATTTGGGTCAGACATAAATCTAGCCATTCTGGATAAGACGATAAACTACATCCAACTGATGAGGAGGTTTTGAGAAGCGTGGAACCACCTCTTAATTGCTGGCGTTCCTAGGTCAGCACTGATCCGGGTTGGTAGTACCTGTTTGGGTCCCAGCTATGGGCAAAAAGTTAACCGCCGAAACTGGTTGAAAACATTATGAAAGTGTAAAAATAGGTTTTAATACCAGCAATACATATTTGTAAAAACTTATTACCAGCAATTAATTTTTGAAGAAAAAATATTACCAGCAATAAAATATTGCCAGCAACGTGTCGATTTTCTATATATGGTCGAACATACACAACATTATCAGAAAATAAGTGCGGTAACTATAATAAACTTTCCTCTATAGTCCTCCGCTCTACCAACTGAGATATCGCGAGTGATAGAAGGTCGGTAACACTAGAATCAAGCAGACGCGGAAGCTTAAATATCGGGGAAGCGTCTTGACGGGGGAAGATAAGTGTGACACTGAGATCCGTAGGCGTATTGGGATGGCCAAGGACACATTCCAAAAACCGGGCAGAGTATTGCGAGACAGGAGGATATCTTTGGTAACAGAGAAAAAAATACTGAACTGTTACGTGATATCTGTCCTTCTTTTTGGCAGCGAATGTTAGACGATTTCCTCAAAGATGAAGAAGAGACTCGAGGCGACGGAGATGTGGTTCTACAGAAGGATGCTAAGGATATCATAATAGTAATAATCATATCATAATAATAATAAAAATAACAAAGAAAAGAATACTGAGCTGTTACGTGACATCTGTCCTTCTTTACGGCAGCGAATGGTAGACGATTTCTTCAAAGATGAAGAAGAGACTCGAGACGACGGAGATGTGGTTCTACAGAAGGATGGTGAGGATATCATAATAGTAATAATCATATCATAATAATAATAAAAAATAACAAAGAAAAGAATACTGAGCTGTTACGTGACATCTGTCCTTCTTTACGGCAGCGAATGGTAGACGATTTCCTCAAAGATGAAGAAGAGACTCGAGGCGACGGAGATATGGTTCTACAGAAGGATGCTAAGGATATCATAATAGTAATAATCATATCATAATAATAATAAAAAATAACAAAGAAAAGAATACTGAGCTGTTACGTGACATCTGTCCTTCTTTACGGCAGCGAATGGTAGACGATTTCTTCAAAGATGAAGAAGAGACTCGAGACGACGGAGATGTGGTTCTACAGAAGGATGGTGAGGATATCATAATAGTAATAATCATATCAAAATAATAATAAAAAATAACAAAGAAAAGAATACTGAGCTGTTACGTGACATCTGTCCTTCTTTACGGCAGCGAATGGTAGACAATTTCCTCAAAGATGAAGAAGAGACTCGAGGCGACGGAGATGTGGTTCTACAGAAGGATGGTGAGGATATCATAATAGTAATAATCATATCAAAATAATAATAAAAAATAACAAAGAAAAGAATACTGAGCTGTTACGTGACATCTGTCCTTCTTTACGGCAGCGAATCTTGGGCGATTTCCTCAAAGATGAAGAAGAGACTCGAGGCGACGGAGATGTGGTTCTACAGAAGGATGCTAAGGATATCATGGACCGAGCGTGTGAGCAACGGTGAGATCTTAGAGAGGATGTAAACAAGGAGGAGGCTTATACTTAATTTCAGGAAGAGGCAGCTGAAGTTATTGGGGCACATAATGAGGAAGGAGGGCCTGGAGAATCTGATACTCACGGGTTGAATAGAGGGAAAGAGAGACAAGAGAAAGCAGCGCGTGACATACATGTCGAACTTAAGCAAGTGGATGACAGAACGTGGTCTAGGGGAGGAAGCAAAGGGAAAGGAACTTGTTTAAATCTGCAAGGGATTGAAGGATGTGGAGGGCCATGATCGCCTACGTCTTGAAGGACATGACACATAAAAAGAAAATCACTATAGTACAGTCAAAAATATTTAAAATTCAATAAAACAGTAGATTAAGCAGAAGATTTACTTCAATTTTAAAGATTACTGACTACTTATAAATTATATATAAAAGGCGCTCACGTTAATTCATTTAATGTTAACGTCTATAGCCTCCATAGAGCAACATTAAATAAATATCAATCTGCCATCAATTTATCAAACCAGCCAACACCTTAAATAAACAGCTACCGTCGGGTTAAAAATGCATTTCTACGATATTTTATGCTTTTTTTTTATTTTAAGCATTTCACCCCAAGCAAGGATGGAATGACACAAAATGCAAAGGGACTACAGAGAGTGAACGTAAGGGAAAAGACAGGGTATAGGGGAGAGGATAAAAAGAAGAGAGGAGGAGGATAGAATGAAGAACGGTGGTAAAGTCATCGGAAAATATCGATTGACATTACATTTAAATTTTTGAAGATTATAATTATCAAGTAAGTAAGTAAGCGGAAAGGAGTGCCACTGTAGGGAAGTGTGAGAGAAGATGTTGGAGTGAAGCTTAAATTAGATAATCGTAGTTTCAACTCAGTTTAATATTACATTAAATCAGATAATATTCCTCAAATATAGTTTCAGAAACGTACTCAAGTTTTGTAATTTTTTAATAAAGTGAATTTCATTGTGTTGAAAGACGAGTAAACATGTCTACCCAGATATATAGTTCAAATTTCTTCTATTTTTTAAAGTACTAAAATAAATATGTACTTCATCTCCATATATTTTTCAGACAACTGTCTCCATCTTTTTTTGTTTTTAACACATCATTCCATTTGATATATTATTTGGTTTTCCTGGTTGTTCCTTGTAATCTAATTAGTAAAGCAGATGCTCCTTGTAAACTAATTAGTAACGCTTTTCTGCACTCTTTCTGTTTGATCAAAGTTACTTACCTTTTAACGATCGTGGAATAAAATTTTAGAAAAGTATGCTTATTTTTGGAATTTTGTTTTTAATAAAGAGAATTGCGATGAAAGGTAACCAAAAAAAAGGGCGCTAATCAGCTATTTTAGCAACAAAAATAAATAAATAAAATCTTCCAGGCAATTTAAATTAGTTTTTGAAATACAGCAAAGTATTTTGCTCATCGGAAATATTAAATTAATCTATTACCTTGAAAATAAGTCTAAAATAAAAACCTCTCGAAAGAATTTTCATTTGTAAAAATCAATTTTAAATCTTAAGTATCGTCAATCTGTTGAGGTACCTATTATGTGACACATTTTTATTGGTGGTACTTATTCTAAAGTCTTCTCCTCCTCTTTCACTTTCAGTAGGTCACTGCATCTTTTTTTTGAATTATTTTTTTTACAGATAAAGTCTGCGTAGACTAACATTAAACATTCAACACGTCCAAACAACTACTTTCGGTTTAAAAACACAATATCTTGAAATTAAAACTAAAAAATGAAATCTTCAAGAAAGATTTTTCAGTTATTAAAATTCATTTTAAACATTAGTTAATTTTTTTTTTTTTTTTTTTTTTTTTTTTTTGGTTGTGCTCAGATAGATACTTCAGGGTTTGTCTACTTTTTAAAAGACTAAAATAAATATGTACTTCATCTTCATATATTTTTCAGACTACTATCTCCATCTTTTTTGTTTTTGACACATCATTCCATTTGATATATTCTTTGGTTTTCCTGGTTGTTCCTTGTAATCTAATTAGTAAAGCAGATGCTCCTTGTAAACTAATTAGTAACGCTTTTCTGTACTCTTTCTTTTTGATCAAAGTTACGTACCTTTGAACGATCGTGGAATAATGTTTCCGAAAACTATATTTTATTTTTGGATTTTTTTTAAATAAAGGGAATTGCGATGAAAGATAACTTAAAAAAAGGCGCACATCAGCTATTTTAGCAAAAAAAAAAAAATCCTTCCAGGCAATTTAAATTACTTTTAAATTAGTTTTTCAAATACAGCGAAGTATTTTGCTTATTGCAAATATTAAATTTAATCTGTTTACTTGAAATTAAAACTAAAATGAAAGCTTCAAGAAAGATCTTTCATTTTTTAAAAAAATCATTTTAAACCTTAGGTATCTTTTTTTTATTTTTTTACTTTTTTGGAGGTACCTTTTTCGGAAAGGAAACTGCAAGAAATTTGTATGAACACCGCCCACAACAGGTTAGAACCTATAACAATTTTATTGGACTTTACAATACACACATATAGAACAATCAAAGCTAATCGCCTAGACATCGTGATCAAATGCCACAAGGACAGAACGTAGTCTCTTATAGATATCAGTTTCCTGCAGATTGCAATGTATCTTTGAAGATCTTCAAAAAACTATCAAAATACAAGGATTTTGAAGTGGAAATCTTTAAAATGTGATACATGAGGACATCAATAATCCCAAGCCCTCGGATTATTTAGAAAAGGTCCCAATAGACTCATTGAAGTGATTCCTTGTAGCCTATGCCTTAAAGAAATACCAAAAATTATACTCACAAATACAGCTCACATCTTATGAAGCGCTCTACCTTTGTGCAATGGTTGTGATTTTTGTTTTTATTCCTTTGATGCTGTGAAGTGTCTGTTTTCTCATTATCTTAAGAGATGTAAGAAACGGTGTGACAGATGAGTTCTGTAGTTCGAAGTCTCTCTCGGAATGGCTAAACCCCGTAACGTGTTCTTTTATAAGGTAAGCCCCCAGAATAATAGCTGAGCTTGCATAATTTCTTTAAGCTTTTCAGTGGCTGAAAAACGATCTCCCTTTATTGTTTTAATGTTGGGCTGATTTTGAATATCGTATTTTTGAGCCGTAATGGAGCCGGGCTTTTGTGATATATTTTTTTTTTATTAATTCCCTCCATGTTACAAGCTGAGTGAAAGGGAAAGCTTCTATTAGGATTTCTTTTACTTAGGTCTTCCACAACAGTACTATGGATTGTAAAAACGATAAAAACACAAGAAATAAAAACACCTACGATGAAAGATCTAAATTATTTTATTATTCACACAGAAAGATGTACACAGAATAAATAAATGAATAAATAAATAAATAATAATAATAGTATTGGATACAACCTATTTGATCTAAGGAACAAACAAGCGGTTTATTTTTTTTATGCCATTTGGAGGTGATCTGAAAATAAACTTATCAGCAACCAATATAATACATTATACGAAATAATAATAATAATAATAATAATAATAATAATAATAATAATAATAATAATAATGGGACTACACAATACACACTGACAGAACAATCAAAAGCCAACCGCTTGAATATTGTTATTAAAGACAACAAACAAAAACGGTGCCTCCTTATTGATATGACAGTCCTGCTGACTGCAATGTATCTTTGAAGATATTCAAAAAGCTGTCAAAATACAAGGACCTTGAAATAGAAATCTCGAAAATGTGGCATATGGGAACATCAACAATCCTGTTGTAGTTGGAGCCCTAGGACTGGTTGGAAAAGATTGCAGTAGACTAATTGAAGGGATTCCTGGAAGTCCATGCCTCAAGGAGATACAAAAAATTGTTCTGACAAGTACAGCCCACACTTTACGAAGGGCTTTATCTATGTCATTTTTTTTTTGTCAGTTGAAAGTGTCATGATGCTATTTCTAACCTTAGGTCACTGGGCGGGACCCGGAAAGAAATGTGTAAATCAAAGGAAATAATAATAATAATAATAATAATAATAATAATACGGAAAGGAAACTGAAAGAAATTGGTATGAACATCACCCAGACCCGGTTAGAGAGACAGGACCTGTGACAATTTTAGGAGACTTTACAATACACAGAGGCAGACCAATGAAAGCTAATCACCCAGACATCGTGATCAAAGATCCCCAAAACAGAATGTGCTTTCTTATTGATATGTCAGTCACTTCAGATTGTAATGATTGTAATGTAGATCTTTGAAGATCTTAAAAAAAAAACTATCAAAATACTAGGACCTTTAAGTGGAAATCTTAAAAAATGTGGCACGTGAGGACATCAGTAATACCGGTTATAGTTGGAGCCCTCGGATTTATTAGAATTCCAATAGACTCGTTGAAGGGATTCCTGGAATTCCAATAGACTCGTTGAAGGGATTCCTGGAATTCCAATAGACTCGTTGAAGGGATTCCTGGAAGCCCATACCTTAAAGAAATACAAACAAATTGTACTCACAAGTACAGCCCACACATTACGAAGAGCTTTATCTATATAAAATATGTGTGTCATTTTAATGAATAAATAAATAAATAAATAATAATAATAATATTGGATGCAACCTATTTCATGTAAAGAACGAGCAACGGGTTTATTTTTTTATGTCATTTGGAGGTGACCTGAAAATAAACTTACCAGCAACCAACATCATATGTTATAAGAAAACGAACTACTACTACTACTACTACTACTACTACTACTACTACCATCAATAATAATAATAATAATAATAATAATAATAATAATAATAAGAAGAAGAAGAAGAAGAAGAATACAGAAAGGAACTGGTATCAAAATCAATCAGGCCCCGTTGAAGATATAGGGGCCTGTAACCATTTTATAGGACTTTACAATACACACAGAACAATTATAGCTAATCGCCCAGACATCGTAATCAAATGGCACAAGAACAGAATATACTTTCTTATTGACATGACAGTCCCTGCAGATTGTAATGTATCCTTAAAGATCTTTAGTAAAAACTATCAAAATACAAGGATGTGTAAATTACCAAGGAAACAAACTGAAAAAAAAAATTGTTCTAATACGAAATGGAGATTCTCTGATGAATATGCAGCAACAATTGACCATCTTGTATCAGGTTGCACGGCATCAAAATTCACTGAATATAAAACTTGGTATGACAAGGTAGGCAAATATCTACACTGGAAAGTCTACAACTTTTATAGAAAGAAAAAAAAACTGCAAGGGATTTGGAATGAGACCCACCCATACCCGGTTACAGATATAGGGCCATTTTATTGGACTTTACAATACACAAAAACAATCAAAGATACTCGCTCTGATATCGTCATCAAAAACCCCCCAAAACAAAATGGGTTTTGTTATCGACATGGAATTTCCTGTCTTTGAAGATCTTCAAAAAACTATCAAAATAGATCAGTGGAATGGTGGAAATCTAAAAAGAAATGCGGCACATGAAGACATCAATAATTCCAGTTGTGGTTAGAGCCATCATTTTGATCGGAAAAGGTTCCGATAGACTCAATGAAGGGATCCCTGGCAGTCCATGTCTGAAAGAAATGCCAAAAAATATTATTCGCACAATCACAGCTGATAATCCCGACGGGCTTTGTTTTTAGGCTGTTTTATTTTTTTTATTTTTTTTTTTTTTACACAGATGTGTCGTGGTAAATGTCATGATGCCATTTCAGAATCTGTCTTTATCTTTCTCGCTGGGTTTTTCACTCCCCCCACCACTTATTTTGGCTTTCTCTTTTTATTATTGGAGCACATTTTCTTTCTTTCTTTCTTTCTTTCTTTCTTTCTTTCTTTCTTTTCTTTTATTCTTTCTTCTTTCTTTCTTTCTTTCTTTCTTAAGCACGTTCTTTATTTCTTTCAAACTTCCTTTCAGCCTTTCTTCCTTATTCTTATTTTTTTCTTCTCTTGTCTTGTAAACATATTTCTCATATTATTGGACTCTTTCTTTCTTTCCTTTTTTTCTTTCTTTCCTTTTTTTCTTTCTTGCTCAAGCATGTTTTTCTTTTTTCTTTTTTCTATCTTTCTTTCTTTCTTTCTTTCTTTCTTTCTTTCTTTCTTTCTCAAGTACATGTTCGTTGTTTGTTTCTTTTATTCGTTCCTAAGCACTTATTCTTTCTCTCTTTCTTTCTTTCTTGTTTTCTTTCTTTCTTTCTTTCTTTCTTTCTTTCTTTCTTTGAAACTTCCTTTTAGCCTCTCTTATTCTTATTTCTTTTTTCTTCTATTGTCTTATAAACCTCTTTCTCTTTTCTTTCACACATTTCTTTCATATTATTTGACTCTTTCTTTCTTTTTTTCTTTCTCATGCACGTATTCGTTGTTTTTTTGCTTGTTTGTTTTTTTGCTTGTTTGTTTCTTTCCGAAGTACTTGCTCTTCCTTTCTTTCTTTCTTTCTTTCTTTCTTTCTTTCTCAAGTTCGTATTATCTCTTTTTTTTCTTTGTCCCTCGCTTTATGCTATTCTCTACAGTTTTATATTTCTGTTTCCTTAACCGTAGTTTTAATGCAGTCTTTCCGTAAGGAAATAAGTAGACAACAGCAATCAAATGAAATGAGAATAATAATAATAATAATAATAATAATAATAATAATAATAATAATGCCGTATTTTCCTTGAGTATAATAAAAGCCTTGTATTTCTGAAGCTTAAAACAGGGAATATATTACACTATTAAGTATAAAGCCTCTGTAAATTTCTTTTGAAAAATTCTACCATATTATACAATAATATCTCAATGTCGAACATATATTTCACTAAAATATATATCTCCAAAAATTCGCTGAAAATAGAGCATGCTATCATGAAAAAATGCTCCAAGCTTGTTAAAAACAAACCTTTATCGTCAAAATATTTATGTCGTTGTTAAGAGGGGAGACCAAAGTATTTTTTATTATTTTATCAAATTTCTAATCCTTTCTATCTGTAATTTCTATGCTAAGTGTTTCTCTTCTCGCACTTCTTGCTTGTGGAACTCTCTTCCGGTCTCCTGTTTTCCAGTTAACTTCGGTCTTTCAAAATTTAAATGCAATGTTAATCGTTATCTTCTGTCGTCTTAATTCTTGTTTTTGCATCGTTCTATTTATCAATGTTTTCTTTTTCTCATATTTTCTCACACCCAGTGACCTCGTCGTCTTAGTGGCTTTATTGTGTTGCTACCAGTGAACTGCAACTATGACAATTTAGTTGTAAAATTTATAACAGTTATTTTCCGTCGGGTTTCCCTGGAACAAACATCTATTCATTTATTCATTGAATCGTGAGATAACGTGAAAAAAGGAAGCCTTGGAGATCAATGGGTACAGATTGCAATCGTAATCGAATAAGAAACTTGGAGTTCATTATCCGAATAATTTATGAAGTAATCATACCCGGGAAATTCAGACGAGGAATGCTTTCGTATTTCTTTTTCTATCTTTGGCAAGGATTTCTTACAAATTGAGGTGCTCTATATGAAGGTCACGTGGTACAGAATATTTTAGTTCAGAGAATATACACCTTTATTTTCATTCTTTTTTTTTTTTTCGTCTTCCATTTTGAATTTTAAACATTTTAATCACTCTCTTCCTTTTTCTGTTTCTCTCTCTCTTGCTTACCTTATCTTTTTCTCTCAGGTGACTCTCTATATTCTTTTCTCTCTCTTTCTCTTCCTTTACTTTCCATTTACCCCTCTTTCTCTGAGTTTCTCTTTTTATTATTGGAGATAATATTCTTTCTTTCTGTCTTTCTTTCTTTCTTTTAGTAGACGTTGTATCGCTCTCTCTCTCTCTCTATCTATCTATCTATCTATCTATCTATCTATCTATCTATCTATTTATGTATCTCAGTTTGTTCATATCTATCTATCTATCTATTTTCTTATCGCTTTCTATTCTCTTTCTATCTTCTTTTCTTTCGTTCTCATTCAACCTTCTTTCTATACTAACTTGTTTCTTTCTTTC